AATATTTTCCAATTTGTATATAGTATGTATGTCCACTGTATGTAATTCCATTGGTTTTTCATTCAATTTATAGTTACTTATGAGCTAAGCCTAAAATAGAATAAATGTTTTTGTAGGTTGACAAATAGTATTGATTTTTTTTTTTAGAGTTCCTTTTCCTTCGAGATTTTGTTCTAGAACAGGTTTTTCTTGTCTTGATACTACTTTGGTGGGGCAGCTATCTGACTCATTTACTAAGCTTCTGCAAAATCTTGTTTCAAGAGAAATATCTCATAACTAGGTTTTGTCAAGTTTATCAAATTTATTTATTTATTAAATATATGAATCTTAATGTAAGCATAAAATTTAAACAACTTCACTAGTATAAATCATTTTATACACACACACACACACACACACACACACTGTATTAAGAGCACTATACCTCAGACAGCAAGAAAACCTCCAAACAACCCAATTTAACTCAACATTATCAACTGCCCTAGTAATTTATAAACTAGAAAATGTCATCGCAATCAATACAGAGATGTGCCAGAAATGTTTTCTTCCCAATGGAATGAAAATAAATAAATATCCCCTCCCCCACATAACACCTCAACTTGCTTTATAACACAGTATTTTGGTTATCTGCAGAACCTTTTATTTATCCATGTGAAATACCTCTTGCTTTAAGTCAACCAAATATTCTGCTGCCATTTTATCTCCACAACAAGCACACCACAGACAGCCACATCCCAGCATCTTAGGCGTATGTGGAAGCCCCAGATATCACATGGCCTATAAGTGATATAATTGTTGTTAATGTGGCTATGTTTCAAGATCTAAATTAATTACAACACCTCCCAATCAAGACATATTACTACTGGGATGTTAACACTATTTTTGCAATAACTGGCTCCCAGGTATGCTTGATGTCATCTGGACATAATTACCTACACAATGGGAAGGAGAGAAGTAAATAGGTTTTCATTTATCTTAAATTAGTGACATGGTACATCATAGTGCTCTTTTCCTGATAAAATGAATGAATGATAAAAGGTAGAATTAGTTTCAGAAAAGAAAAATCTTTTAAATTCATATATAATTACAGAATTACAGCAGTTTTATTAAAATATACCAAGCTGGTAATCTTCTCAATGATAATAATGTAATCAATACTTAAAATAATTTAAATGTATTAATATGAATTTCTAATACAAAGCAAGTTGTTAAGAACAGATTTTTCTTCCTAGCAATGTAAACTAACAATGGCTCCTATACTGAGAAATGATAATGGGTTGGATATGGAGAGTTCATTTTTGAAATGCTAAATACAAAGTAACATTTTCATTGTTCATTACCCAAGGTTTTCATAAAATGTGAGCATGCCAAAAATGTATTACCTTTTCTAAAAAAATGTGAACACTTTGGATTTTAAATTCCCACAAACAGAATCCGCTTACGGTGGGAAGAAGGTGCTTGTCTCATATCTTCTCTGGGGAATTCAAGAATCATCTGGAATATGAGCATACAGCCACTCCTTGTTTAGCGGCTTCTTTGTTCAGCGACCATTCGCAAATATGATGGTAATAACAATAACAAAAAATTCTGATCAATGTGCACACTTATGACCAAATTTTGTGTGCCTGACAACAATGCATGCTGGAGTGAGAGTAACGCTGGTGTTATTGCATGAGAGAACTTTATCTAAATGAGACAACAGCAACCAGTGATCTTTGCAGCATGTCTCTCTCTCTCATTTGCTTAGTGACCATTTCACTTCTGATTTAAGGAATGGATTTCAGTTGCTAAACAAGAAGGGGGTATATCAGGGAGTGGATCAAAGCTCCAGCCATGAATAATAGTTCTCTGGCCTGTAAAAAGACAACTCTGGATTCAAGGCAAGTTGCTTAGAGTTTGACATTTTCAATTTGGGTGGCATTTTATTCATGATTAGAATGTCCCACCAGCATGGGTTACTTAGTTCTTTCAATATAAAATTATCTGGAATCTGACTACTGTATTGTGCATAATAAAAATATTGAATCTTGCTTTATCTTCTGTACTAAGGCATTCTGAAAAGGCTATTGACAGTTAACAGAAAGAGAATACGCTGATATTTTCTTTATTATTTGAGGCCAATTTCTTTTAAATTTAAGTCAATTTACCAATTATAGATATCATTTTTCAATAATTTTCAATAATACTTAGAATTATATTATTATTCCCACTTTTAAAAAATATATATATTTTGGTCAACTCAAGGCAGCAAACATACTCCTGCCTCCTATTTTCCCCACAACAACAACCCTTTGAGATGAGTTGGGCTGAGGGAGAGTGAGTGGCCCAATGTCACCCAGCCAGCTTTCATGCCTAAGGTGGGACTAGAACTCACAGTAAACAGTGAGTTTAAACAGTCTCCTGGTTTAAAGATATTAAAGGTTACAGCATTCTCAAACTGTTCAGTGCTACACTAAAAACAAGTCATCTATAAAATATGTACAGAGAATATATAATCTAGTCAGCTTTTTACTTTTCCCAATATATTGCTACCTGAAAAATTCAACATCTCAAAATTCAAGAGGCCATAATATATTCCTGCATGGGCTATTCAAGGAATTACTGATAAACTGAGTATTTATATTAGACAAGCCTGGAAACCCTGCACCAATCACAGGAACATTCTACTAAAAGAAAATGTTGTTAGGCATATAGAAAAATAGTTATTTGTGAGTTTCCTGAATAGATTGGTAGGTCACTGTGTGACATAGAGTAGCTGAACTAGATAGGCCTGCTTGTTCCAGTGGGGATTATAGAATTATAGGGTTGGAAGACGCTGTTATGCCATTGAGTTTAACAACCTGCTCAGTGTATCAATCTCAGTTAAAGCATCCCAGACAGATAGCTGTTTTCTTCTGAAGATACAACTGGTATATTTAACACTGATTATCTTACATTAGCTTTATAAAATATATCACTACATTTTGTTCTGTTTTCTTCTTTTAAGCAAATATAAAATATAATCTAAATGATTTAGAAAGCTATCATTAAAAAAACTGAACAACCTTCAAGACAGTATCAGATCACAGAAGCTCCATATAACTTCACTGTCAAATAAAAATTAATGTGACCAATCATTTGGACTGTGACCTAGCTCTGTCCAGCCAGCTTCTAAACAAAGAAATGACTAAGAGACCAGACAATTTCTGATTCTACTGTATAAAGATCACAATTTAAAATGATAGAGTGAAAAAAAATATTTTTCCCTTCTCTTATCCTACTTTATTAGGAATAAAAAGGTAATTTTACATGCTTTAGAAGCACTGATAGCCATTCCAGCTCATTTCCACTTTACTTGCATAATTGATTCTCTTCACTTCTGACAGGAGGAGTATAGGATTTTACTTGTTATCCATTTTAACAAATTAACTGCATTCCACTTTTCAAGTGTATTTTGAATGACACTGAGTTGTGCTATTAATACAGTACAGAAGTTATACTCAGATAATAAGTCCTTCAATTCCAAAATAAGTTTGACTAATCTTAGAGAAGCCATAGATCAATAACATGCCTGTATAAGGTACCATGTTCCATCTCCAGTATTTGTGGATATTGAACCTTAAATGTTCATCTGGAAAAGATGCTGAAGGCTTGGATCCTGAAGCACCATCAAAATGAACTGACAGTTTTTAGCTAGAAGAACTAAGTCTCCAAAAAACCATTATCTTCTTATAATTTGTTTCTGTACAATTAAAAAAAAAAATTGCTCAAGATCTAGTATATCTAACTCAAAGGTAAATAGCTAAAAATGAAAATGGAATATAAATAGGTATATTGTCTGAGGTAGCAAACTACAATAAAGTTGCTGTAGGTTATCAGTCCTCCCCAGTTGTTCCGGATTAAGTAGCACTGCTCTCTTGGCCACACAGAAAAAAGTTAATAAACATATGATGATGCAGAAAGAAGAATTCAACACATCTTTAAATCCCAGTTTAGGAGAGAAATAAGTATAAGCAGCCTTATCATTTACTCCTACAAAATGTTATAATGTGATTTGTTTAGGACACTATAAGAAAGAAACTAGATTTCCCAGAGCACACTGCAAAAACATTCAATTTCGGTTTTCTATTTAGATTCTCAAGACACTAGTAGTATATCTACTTTATAGCCTATCTAGTGCACACAAGATATTGGACTTAAACAGAAGAGGTTCCAATCATTACTCATTGAGTGACTATAGGGCAGATACACTTTCAGCCAAACCTACTGCCAAGATTGTTGTAAAATAAACCAGAATAACTCCCAGGTGAATCACTTTGGGATCCTTGAAGAAAGATTTGAATCAAAGTGAAGGAAATAAAGCCATTGTGCCTTGTTTGCTGTTACATGATTTCATGAAAAGGTATTCTACACTATGAGTAGAACTTCAAGCATCTTAATTCTGACATTATATAAATTCAACTGCCTGTCTATAGAGATCATATATTTATGCTGCGTTCATTTGTAAAGCAAATACATCCATTTGCGGCTTTAGAGAAAATAAAACTGCATCAGTTTATCTTTAATTTGATATAAGTAGAATACTACAGATTTCTACTTTTTTGCTTATTTTTCTTCAGGCCCTTAAAAAAAATCTCAAGTGCCATTTTTAAACTGTGTGGTATTTGAAGCAGCAAGAAGAGATAATATGGATAGATGAAAAAAAGCACAAGCAGTGATTAAATTTTCTTTTGCTACAGAGTTAAAGTGGGTAAGGGGATGGAAGATGGGGAAAAAAAAATGTTTTGTTACTGCTACAGTTCCGAAATTTAACATGAAGAACCACCCCACTCACACACACGAATGTAAATCTTTCCGATTTTAAAAGTTTCATAACTTTTCTGACGTGTTATTGTTTTGAAAACAAGAATCCCCCTAACTTCAGACTATGAATACACAACTTTTTTTTAAGAGCGGTGTGGGTGTCTGAGAGCCAAAATAAACCCCTGGACTGACCCAGGCCCCGACAGCTGGGACCTTACCGCAATGAGGGCGCTGCTACGGCCGTGCTGTTGCTGTTGTTCACCGCCCGCGGTGTCACTGTCCAGGCCGTTGACTCCAGGCCTATCGGAAGAAGTGGAGGTAGACGCAGAGCTCCCGGCCCCCGGGGCCGGAGCAGAGGAAGGCGGATGCGAAGGAGCTGTTGGAGGGGGCGCTGTGGGGGGAGGAAGGGGCGGCTGGCGGTGCTTCCCCGCTCGCTTGGCCTTAGCTTGCAAGCAGCGCTGGTGAAGGGCGAAGGTCTGCTGGCGCTCTAGTTCCAGGCGCTCCGGGGACACGGCCTGGTAGCGGGACTCACAGGCACTGTGATGCCGCCGGCAAAGCTCGATGCGCCGGCGGAGCCGCTCCATCACCGCGCTGTGCTGCGACACCACGAACTCCGCCATGGGGCAAGGAGGCAGAACCATGAGCCGAGGACGAAAGCGAGAGCACCGGCGCAGGCGGCTCTTCACTCCGCCATGGCTGGCGGCGAGGGACACCGGGCACTTCTGAGCCCAACTCTCCCTCTTCTTCTGCCGTCACCGCTACCCTTTCCAGGGGGGGGCGCCCCACTATGGTCCGACCCGACCGAGCCCGCCTTCCTGATGCAGGCCTGGTGACCGGCCAACGACTTCCTCTCCCCTGCCCCAATCTAGCTCAGGCCCAGAGCCACCCAAACCTCCCGTTTCCCATTGTTATCCGCGCCTCAACCGCCGCCATCTTGAAATTGTTTTACCCCTTTTCTCCCCCACTTGGGAGCCTGCCCAGTCCAGAGCGGGTGGACTTTCCTAGGTATTGGCTGACGTCACGGCCCACACACTCACTGGCAGTAGGCGTTAACAGACTGCTTAAAGGGCCAATCGGAGATGAGAACGGAAAAGAAAAGGGCAGGGAAAAGCTGGGGGTGGGGATTTCCCTTTCCGTTTCTCTCCTCCCCCCACTTCCCTACGACCTTTCCGGAAAAGTAGAAGGGGCGGAGCTCTATGATTGACAGAAAATGTCCCCCGTATGCTGCTTGTGCTGGGATGGCTGAAACCTGTAGGTCTGCCCCTCGCGTACTCTGAAACGCATCCCGACTGACTGAAACAGCGAAGGGATATTACGTATTGGGCAATACAGATAGCAATAAAAGAAAGTAAATACTGAAAGGTAGTTCGATGCTCTCGTTTCACACTGAAAATAAGCAACTGAGTGATAAAACCTAAGGCCAAACCAAGTGCTTGAATTCTCACCAGCCTTTCCTTTAAATTAAGGGCACTGCCATTTTAAGTGGACACTTCAATATATTCGGTATACACTGATTTTAGAAGTTTTTAGTTTTTTTTTGCTGGACTAGCGGTTAACATAGTGCAAAAAAACAACCTAAGTCTGGGTCCTCTTAAAACGCAATCGTTCTTTACGCTACTAATCTCCTGCTTATGTAATATATTAATGGTTTCCCCCCCAAAATAACGATTCGTATGCCGCCCGACTCTCAACGACGCCGGGCGGTGCGAAGAGTTTTGTGTTAACCCGCGGGATAACAAATAATGCTAATTGGAGACAATGAGAAACGTTTTCACCTCCAATTAGAAAGCACGAAAATACTAGAAAGGATTTTCCTCTTGTTTGATGGTACAGTTCCACCTAGGTAGTTTAAGTACATTTTAAACTAACTCAAAAGACCACCTAACATCCTCAAAAGCAAACTACTAGCAGGGAATTTGATCAGGTCAGAATGGTCTATGCAAACTATTTTGCATGTTTGTAAAAAAAAATAAAAAGGAAGTGTATTTGGAAATGTGTAAGCAGCTATAGAAGTTGAGCAGAATTTCAAATGCATACTTTACGCTAATCAAGTGAAAGTGACAAACTCTTGAACAGGTACAAATAAATTATGTAATTCCCAGGCTTTCTATAATTTGGCTTTTTAAATTGCTGGTAAGTTTCAATGTTGTTTATAGTTTAAGCATATTATGTATATTTTTTGTTACAATGTGACATTTTTTGAAAAGACTTGTGTATTTAAGATTAGAAGTTGGAAAAAGGAATGAATCCATCAGCTTATTGGATCAAGTGAAGCAATTTATTGCCAGCAGATTGCTATTCATGTTACCTTAAGGAAAAAAAGTATGTTACACATTTAACATGGACACAACTTTTGAAACAGTCTCAAGACCACCACATTCTTAGGCCATTTCATAACATTTCTGCAATGAAGACAATTTTATTTCATAAAAATATTCCAAATAAATAGAATTATTCTGGCATACAAACTTATGCCAAGCCATTACAGCATAATTTTGAAGTCACAAATACTCCAGGAAGCATACATATACAGTGTAACTAGCTAAAAGGTTGAAACATAAAAGTTACTCACCTCTAGTCCTTCCAGTTCTTCTATTATTAATGATTTCTTAGAAATATGTGCTGTATAAATCAAATCTGTATTAACTATGTATACATAATTAAAATATTTTCTATTATAGTCTATTTTCATTCTGAAATTGTGCATATTGACCTTTGAACAAGGTCAAAAATAGTGAGATGGAATCAATTGTGTTGAAAGATTTAACATTTCACAAAGCTCAGGTTTCTAAAAGCAAGTTGCTCACTATGAAACCAATTTGGAAGTACGACCTCAATATGGTGTTATTCATACCTTTTACAATTCCACACTTATAACAATCCTGACTCAAAATATTCTCAGTAGTACATTTAAAACAGAATGCAGACAATTTAATCACTATGCATTTTGGATATTGTTCAGTTTTTCCACAACAGAGTAGTAACAGCTCTGAAGGAAGACCTATTAACTCCTCTGCCTTTAGATTATGAAAGCCAAACATTTTTTAAAAAAAAATATTGCAGACTAGACAGTAGAAAAATAGTGATTTATGTTTCTTTATTAATCAAGTAAGCTTACATTTGTTTATAACTTAACCAATATATTTATATGTATACTGCATCTTCAGATTTTTATAACAGTCAGGACTTGAGTCACAATCTTGTTTACCAACACTTGAGGATTTGCATTTGAAACTTGCATGGAGCAATACTGGCATTTAGAAAACTATAACAGAGAAAAAAGGGGTGCAAAGAAATGTGTTCTTAGCACCATATTTACTGCCACAGGCTAAGTGGGGCCAGAATCTGGAGATCGAGGATATCCTTTGGTTAATCACGTACAACTTTCCTGTCAACCATAACATCCCCACATGCGACTATCAATACATTTCACTTTTATAAGTTTGCAGTGTAAGTATCCGAAGACAGAAACATGTTCAATTAATATCTTTCTTTTGCTTTAAAGCATCTATATCTTCATTTTTAATATATGAACTGGGACTGATTTGAAATGGCTAGAATGCACTTTATTTTCCAAATAGAAGTATGTAGTCAAATATCTTATTCACTCAAAAATTCTGTTTTTAGATAGAACATTTCCTAAAAATCTACTATGTGTATTTCTTTCCAACTAGCAATTCAACTATGTCAGTGTAAAAGATTTCCTGCATCAGAATTATTTTCCATATTTTTTTTTTAATCATCCATTAAGTTACCAATTCAGCACCTCAAATTATTTGGAAATTACGAATGACTTATTTTGTTAAAGTTTTGGTTTATTATTCTTAAATAGCAGGTGACAATCTTCTCCCAGTATTAAGTAGTCTTAACAAGGCTTCACAGGTAGACACTGGGCAATTAAAGAAGTACATTTAAGCAATCACTGCAAAAATGTGCCTTCTCAATTTTCACTAACATTAAAAAAGGCCAAAACATGCAAACAGGGGAGTATTCTGAAGAGGTTTTATGGGTGCCAGATTTATTCTTCCCAGTATCCTGGAAAGAGGAATACACGGTTCACAAAATGTGAATACGTTGTTCAAAAGACATTAACTCAAGTACATTAAAGTTAGTACTAGTATTAAATAGCCATTGCAAGTCAACTATGTAGAAGAAAATAGGAGAGGAAGCTATGGGCAATACTTTCACTTAAATGCCCTGCATAGAAAGAAATTATTGTAAGCAAGCCACTGACTGTATCAAATTGGATCTACCAGTGGAATGGATGCTGAGTTTATGGAGCCCTCTGGAGGGCATAGGGAGAAAAGACAGAAAGGAAACTCTTGCAGAAGTAGATGTCTGCTCACTTGATGCTGGAATGCAAGACAAAGGTTGCAAGCACTGTAGCTTCGAATGAGGATAGTTTTGTTTTGGAAAGATCACAGAACTGAGGGTTCTAAAAGCAAAATAACCCACAGGACAAATGTCAGCCTTGTTTTGAAAAAGCTATACACATAAGTTTATATCTGAGTATCTGAACAGAATTATAAAAGCTTAGTTATGCTGAAAAACCTTTACCCACCAAGTAGAAACGAGTGTTTTAATTCAGTGCCATAAAAAAAGGACAACAGATGGCAAAACATTTATTCTTCCCTTTCCTCCATTATGCCCTTCAATACAATGTAGTGGATTATACTTTTCTTAAGTAAACACTTTGTATTCTGGATAAGATTTCTGAATAGCTAGATACTCAATGCAACATATTTTTTAAAAAAATTTATTCATTTGGAACCCCCTAGATTCACAACATTTTTTGATACATGAAGAGTACTGAGACTCAAAATGTTACATATGCCAAGTTTTCACATGCTTATTTCTCAGCCACAAATACTGACATCTGCTTTCAGCACAAATAAAACTTGAAAGATCAGCTTGCCTATGCCTCTTCTCCTGTGCATCAATGTACATAAGATGGCAACAATAAGAAAGTTAGCAACACTGTCCTGTTCACAATGTTTGGACCCAGAAATAAGTAGTTCTATCTTCTGAGAATAAGAAACACAATTTTAACAGTGAGCTAAGCATGTGTACTCTCTAGCAGCTAAGCTGCATCTGAATAAACTGTACAGGAGAAGCAACAGCTGGAACAGGAGGAAAGAGTTTAAAAAAAAACTGGGGGAGGGGAGAAATGCCACAACTGAAAGCAAATTCCAAACTGAGAAAAAGTTCAAAACTTAAAGGAACAAGACAATCCAGTCTCACAGTACCCTAACTAGAATCTGCTCCTAAATTCAGTCTAACTGTGAATACTATTTTAACTGAGCTGTACCCATGACCAATATGAGTATTTCATGGCCACATGGTTTTCATCAATAAGAAAGTTTGAGCACTTGATGATTTCTTCAAATGGATTTTAACTTCATCCTACATTTAACATGATCAAACTAGGAGAAATAAGAGTTGTATAAGAATTTCCATCTTTGTAAGAAAGAAAAGACTTATAAAAACTTTATATCTGGCATTTTTCCTAAGGTTTGCTCTTCACTTCCATTGATAGATTAATACATTAATTTAAGCCAAAGTTTTGAGACTGGTAATTCTATCATCTATTTAAAAACAAAATAAAAATGTTAGTTTTTGTAAAATTCCAGAAATTCATAGCTGGGTTGTGTTAAATGCATTCTTTTTCTACAGGAATATTCTATTTAGAAACACAATTGCAAATATTTGACTGCTAAACACTTTTCACTGGAGAGTATTTGACAGGAACCTATGGATAGTGAATTTTGAGGGTTTTTGAGTTTCAGCAAAAAGGTATCCACGGTCCTCTCCCAAAACCATATCAGAAAAATTCATCAGATTAAGTTTTTAGGATATTTCAATCTCTTCTTGGTTTTCTATTTCTGGGAGACCTATTCACCGTTTCTTCCTCCTACAAATGTAAAATAACATATAAATAACCCAGTAACATTCAGATGTTTAGCTTTAAAAATAATAGAGGATGTTTTCACAGGTAATT